CACCCCCGGGTGATTATCTCTCCCCCGGGGCCGGCGGTGGTCGTAGCGTCTCCGAGGCCGCGGGCTCCCACAGGCTCCCCGTGGCCCCGAGTTATAGTCGGGACACCGCGGCCTCGGGTGATTGTCGGGTCTCCACGGGCCCGGGTCGCCGGGACGGATCAAGCCTCTGCGCCGTCTCAGGGCGCCCCGCAAGACCCCAGGCAAGATGAACATTCTGGCGCCGGTGCGGAGGGACCGCGTCCTGGCGGAGCTGCCCCAGGTAGGCGCCAGGGCCAAGTCGGGCTTGTGGCTGCTGCGGGGTGTGGGCAGAGAGGAGGCGGCTCCACACCCCTTAGAGGTTGGAGCCCGGCCCTGCTGCAGAGCTAGGCCTGCTGCTTCTGGGTGGTCCCCCCCACCCCCCCCCCCGGGCTGCTTGGCCGCCGGACAGGGGCCAAGAGTGGGTGGGGGACATTCTTCCATCTCTCACTCAGTGCCTGAGGAAGGAAGCCGCTTTGCACGTGCACAAAGATTTCCACCCCCGCGTCACCTGCGCCTGCCAGGAGCACCGGACAGGCACCGTGGGGTGAGTTAGGGACACCCATAAGTAAGAAAATACGTCGCAGGACACCCAGTAGGCATAGCAGGTTATACACGACCACCCCTTGGGGCTCCATCGGCCCCTGCTAGCTGAATGGTTACTCCCCCTTTTTTAACACCCTATGTTCTCCCTTTTCCTAACAAAGTTGTGAGATGGGTGGGGTAGAAGGTGGCAGCTTGGTTCTTGGTGGGAAACAAGGTGTCCAACGTAGGAGGTGGTTACCTCCGCAGCTCCCACAGACCATCCACCGAATTTTCCGTCAGGGGGCTGGCTGTGCCTCACTGTGAGTTTAAAAAAAAGAAAGTAATTGGGGCCAGCAAGTGGCGGTGGTTAAGGGTGCTTGGCTTCCCACATGACCTAACACTGCGGTTCGAGTCCCAGACCTGGTGGTTTGCTTTCTCACTCTCTCTCCCCGCCCCTGGTCAAATTAAAATAAATAAAAGAAGTTAAATAATTCTTTTTAAAAAAGATAATTAATAGTTGTCATCATTAATTATTATTTTTTAAAGAATTATTTATTTACTTTTATTCATTCATTTTATTCTAATTTGACCAGAGCGATACACAGAGAGAGAGAGAAAGGGGGAAAGTGAGAAAGCAAGCCACCAGGTCCAGAACTCGAACCATGGTCAACCATGTGGGAGTGTCCAGCAACTTAACCACCACGCCACCTGCTGGTTCCCTGTCACCATTAATTATTTACTGCATGCCAGGCACTGTGTTGGATACTGTTGATAAATACTGTTGTCTTTGGGGACCAGCAGTTGGCGTAATGGCTATGTCGCTGGACTCCCATGTAGTCAACCGCAGTTCGAATCCCGGACCCGGTGGCTTAAAGTCAAGCCGGGCACGTGTGCATGTATGCCCAAGATCCCGGGAGGAGATGAGAGGAGAATGTAGGAGAAGGGATTGTGGTGTGACCATTCCCCCTGGGGGGGTGATTTCTCGCTTTCTGTCTCTCCCTGTCTTTCTGTCCGGCGCACACACTCTATAGCAAAAACCTCTCCAAAAAAAGAGATATTTCTCTGTTGAATGAAAAAACACCATCACTTAAGATGCATCCTGATCTCAGAGATCTTAAAGTGGGGGAGAGGGGTGCCTCAGAGAGGTTAATAACTTACCCAGAATCACACAACTATTAAGTACGAGAGCTGGGTTCAGTTTCTTATCTGGGCACAAAATACTCCCTAGCACATCTGTCAGGCAGTTCCTGGGAGGGTTGGCATTGATGGTAACCTCAGCCTGGGTGCAGTTGCCTCTCTGGACCTTGTAGGGAGCTTTGGAACTCCCTAGAGTGAAAGACCCTGTCGTCCCCCTCCCCCACTCTTATGTTCAGCAGATTTAAGATCTCCAAGGTCATTGTGGTGGGAGACCTGTCGGTGGGGAAGACTTGCCTCATTAATAGGTAAGGGGGTGCTGGAGCTGGGCTAGGCTGGGCTGGACGGGGTGGTGCTAAGCCTAGCCAGGTGGGCTAGACTCTAGGCCAAAGCATCCCATGACCCCTCAGATTCTGCAAAGACACCTTCGATAAGAATTACAAGGCCACCATTGGAGTGGACTTTGAGATGGAACGATTTGAAGTGTTGGGCGTCCCCTTTAGTCTGCAGCTGTGAGTGTTTCCTCCACCTGTTCCGGCTACCCCTTCCCCAGCACTCCCGCCCTATCCCCCAACATACCGTGCTTCACTCCTTCCTCCCAGTTGGGATACCGCTGGACAGGAGAGGTTCAAATGCATTGCATCAACCTACTACCGTGGGGCTCAAGGTAAGGGGCGTGGGCAATGAGGTAGGTAGCACTGAGGATACACCCACGTTCTTACCTAGAGCTAGGGGCTGGGAAGCTTAGCCTGTAATGTCTTCCCTATCAATGTGGGACTGTTTCTGCCACTCTTCCAGCCATCATCATTGTCTTCAACCTGAATGATGTGGCGTCCCTGGAACATACCAAGTATGTGAGGATGCTGCGTTGTGATGGGAGGCCGCGGGAAGAAGCTGGGGCGCTGGGTGATGGTGATGGGGTAGCTGTAAAGTATGATGCTCAGTGAGGCTGGCCCACACAGGAAGGTTCTAGATTTGTGTCAGAGACTCCCTGAGTGCACAGGGATCACACACATGATCCCAGGCTGGCTAAGGCTGGCGGTGGATGATAATTTCAAGACCCTGTTGAAGGTACTGTTTCTTTCTCTTTTTTCGCTTCATGGAAGAGATAAGTAAAGTTTTAAAAAAATCGCTGGAGGAAAAATTGAACTTTATTTAAGAAAAAAAGAAAGAGAAGAGGGACCAGCAGTTAGCATAATGGCTATGTCACTGAACTGCCATGTAGTTGAACGCGGTTTGCGTCCCAGACCTGGTGGCTTAAACTCACGCCAGGCGCGTGTGCCTGCGTGCCCAAGATCCCAAGAGGAGAATGGAGGAGAAGGGATTGCGGTGTGACCATCCCTCCTGGGGGGTGATTTCTCGCTTTCTGTCTCTCTGTCTCTCTGGCAAGCACATGAGCCCTATAGTAAAAACCTCTCCAAGAAAAAAGGAAGAAAGAAAGGGGCCAGCAAGTGGTGCTATGATTCAGGCGCTGGACTACTACATGGCTGACCGCAGTTCGAGTCCTGGACTCGGTGGCTTGCTTTCTCATGTTTTCTTTCTCTCTCTCTCTCATGAGTACACATGCCCTGTGACAAATTAAAAAAATAATAATGATAAACAAAATTAATTATTTTTAAGAAAGATTTGTAATAACAACTTCTAGAGAAATAAACTCTCTTGTTTTAAATGAAAAAAAAAGAAGAAAAAAGGGGTGGGGGACCAGCAGATGACATAATGGTTTTGTTGCTGCATTCCCACACAGTTGACCGTGGTTCAAGTCCTGGACCCGGCAGCTTAAACTCACACCAGGTGCATGTATGTGCGTGTCCAAAATCCTGAGAGGAGGATAGAGGAGAAGGGATTGCAGCATGGCCATCCCCCCTCCCCCCGCAGGGGTTGATTTCTTGCTTTCTGTCTCTCTGTTTCTTTCTGATGAGCACACATGCCCTATAGCAAAAGTCTCTTAAATTAAAAAAAGAAAAGAAAAAAGAAGGGTGGTCAAGAGAGAAGAAGAATGCAACTAAGACCAGAGAGGGTGCAGCTGGACATTTGAATGTGGGTGGGAGGCAGAATGTGGGCCAGGCAGGCCCACTCAGCCCTCGGTGTCCACCATCTGTGGCAGGCAGTGGCTGGCTGATGCTCTCAAGGAGAATGACCCTGCCAGCGTGCTCCTCTTCCTCGTGGGCTCCAAGAAGGACCTGAGTGTGAGTGTGCCAGTGGGGGGACTCCCCGACCTGATGAGGGAACCTCCCCATCTGACTTTGACCTCCCCTCAGACTCCAGCTCAGTATGTGCTAATGGAGAAAGATGCCCTCAAAGTGGCCCAGGAGATTAAGGCTGAGTACTGGGCAGTGTCATCTCTTACTGGTGAGTCAGAGGCTCAGGCCCTCTGCCAGCCCATGCCTGCCTGCCCCTCTTCTCACTTCTGTGCCTCTAGCTGTGCCCAGTGCCCTCAGACCTGGCTCAGCCATTGAGAACCTACCTGTTCCTGTGTCAGGTGAGAATGTCCGGGAATTCTTCTTCCGCGTGGCAGCCCTGACCTTTGAGGCCAACGTCCTGGCTGAGCTGGAGAAATCAGGGGCCCGGCGCATTGGGGATGTTGTCCGTGAGTGCGCACCTGATCGAGGGAGGCAGAGATCCGGGGGGACTCCAATCCTGGCTTCACATAACTTTCCACCCTTCTTCAGGCATCAACAGCAATGACAGCAACCTCTACCAAACTGCCAGCAAGAAGAAGTCCACATGTTGCTCGTGAAGGGTGAGGAGACTGTCCAGAGACTGCCCAGCCCTGGGGTGGGCACCGTGCCACCTGGACTATCCCAGAGCGTGGGCCCTGGACATTTGCACTGACCGTTCTTTCAGACCAAAGAGCTGCCCCTTGGTGGCAGTACCCCCGAGGGGTAGCTAGGACCATGCTAGTCACTTTCCTTTCCTAGGCACCACGCCAAAGACTGGATGGCCCCTTTCTCTTCTGGAGGCTCCCCTGGGTCCCCAGCAGTGGAGGGGGGGGTGTTCCTGCTGGGCCCTTTGGATGTGAGGATGCCTAATGATTCCAGCCTCACACTGTGCCTTATGCATTAAAGTCTATTATTAGCATCTTCAGAACTGGAGTCCTTGTTGGGGATGAGGGAAGCAGAATAAGCCAAGCTGCATAGTCATCGAGGACCAGATCCCCTTTGGGATTCTGGCCATCTTTGGCCCCTAGGCAGGCAAGGGACCCAGAAACCAGATTTGGTGGTGGTGGATGTTGCACCTTACTGCACCTCTGGGTGAGATCTGAATGACTAGTTTTAGAAACTTTTTCTCTGGTCTCTTCCCCCTAAATGTGTCCTCCTACTGGTACTTTTCCCCAAATTGTTACAACTGGAGATTCTTTTTTTTTTTTCTCCTGTCGCCTATCCTTTAAAAATACTTCTCTATTGGGACCGGCAGGTGGCATGGTGGTTGAGGCGCTGGACTTCCACATGGCTGCCCATGGTTCAAATCCTGGACCTGGCAGCAAACAATACAAATAAATCACAATAAATAAATCACAACAAATAAATAGATAAATAAATGTTAAATAAATAAATACCTCTCTGAGGAAAACGCAATGAGAAGTGATTGAATCTGGAATGCTTTTGGGTTGACCAGACAGCCCAGAAAGAATAGGGACTCTGCCTCTGCCTCTTCCTGGGCACACACGCACATGCGCCCAGCGTGAGTTGTTTTATTTTTTTCCTCTTTTTTTTTTTTTTTTTTGGAGAGGTTTTCACTATAGGGCGCATGCGCTCGCCAGACAGAGAAAGACATAGAGACAGAAAGCAAGAAATCACCCCCGGGGGGATGGTCACACCGCAATCCCTTCTCCTCCATTCTCCTCTGGGTTCTTGGGCACGCACGCACACACGCCCGGCGTGAATTTTAAGCCACTGGGTCCGGGACGCGAACCACGGTCGACTACGTGGGAACCCAGCGACATAGCCATTATGCTAACTGCTGGCCACCCTCAGCTGTGCTTTGAGTCAGGAGCACCTGCTTTTGAATCCCTGCCGTTCACTCTTACTAATGATGAAAACTCAGGCAGAGACTTATCCTCTGAGCCTCAGTTTCCTCTGAAATGGGGCTGATAATTCTATTCTTTTTTTTTTTTTGTGAGAGATTTTAACTAGAGGGCGTGTGTGCTCGCCAGACAGAGAGAGAGAGAGAGACAGAAAGCGAGAAATCATCCCCCAGGGGGGATGGTCACGCCGCAATCCTTTCTCCTCCATTCTCCTCTCGGGATCTTGGGCATGCACGCACACCCGCCCGGCGTGAGTTTTAAGCCACTGGGTTCGGGACGCGAACTGCGGTCGACTACGTGGGAGTCCAGCGACATAGCCATTACTCTAACTGCTGGTTCCCTGGGGCTGGTAATTCTGAATGTGTGAGATTGTGTGGATGAATAAAATAAATCACATAGGAAGAGTTCAAAAACCTTAACCTCTTATAACTGTTAACTATTATCTGGGGAAGAGGGACCAAGACCCTCGCTCCTTGCTGACATCTAACCCAAAGTCATGGATTGGCTGTAAGTACTTCACACATTGGGCCAATAAAAGATAACACATGAGACTTCAAGTCATTATCCTGGGAGACCATGGAGGGCCCAGATGAGAGCACAGATCCTGGCTCCCATAGAGCAGATGCTCAGTCCATTCCATGCCTGGTCCCATTCTTACCCAGCCACACTGGCCCAGAAGGCCAGGTAGGCTTCTCTGCATACCTCACCCTCCCCTGCTGCTCCTGGTCTAGGCCTACAGTGGGATGAGAGGATCTGGGCAGTGGCCCTCTCTACTCAGGACTTGGTTCTGGAGGAAAGTGAAGGTTGGGTTCTGGTAGAGCAGTATCAGCAGGAGGGACCTTTGATGACCCTGGATAAAAACAAGGTTCAGACTCTCCTTTCCCCTCCATCCTTTGAGGCATATGCAGGCTTTGGAAACTCCCAAGAGAAATTGAGGGGTACAGTGCCATGAATGTCGGTGATGCAGCCCTAACTTTTTCAGACTGGTTGTATTTGTTTTCCATCTCCGTTCCCTCACTGCACTGTGCTCCTCACCCATGTTTTGCACAGAACCTGTCTCAGTGCCCACAGAGCCTGTCTGGATGCCTACCAAAGGAAGCCTGCGGTATGCTATGCTGCTGTGCGGGCTGCAGGAAGCACATGGGCATGTGGACAACACACATGCCATGTGTGGGGCCTACCTGGGCATGTGGACAGCACACATGCCAAGTGTTGGGCGTGTGCCTTTGTACCTGTGTCTTGGTGTGTAGACTGTGCGTCGCTGTGTGTGATGTGTGCATGAGCAGTGTGCTACCGAGGGAGTGAGGATTGTGTTACTGGGAGGAGGTCACTATGAGTGCAGCCTGCCTAGCCTTCCTGACTGGACCAGCCTATGGTGAGCCTAATGGACCCCATTACTGGGCGGTGTTGTCTCTAGGCCAGGGTGCCCCTGGGGGCTGGGAGGCGACCCTGGGAGTTGGCTCTAGGGTGGCCGCGCCGGGGCTGGGGGAGGGGCGGCCGCAGGGCGGCTGAGATCCCACATCAATCACGTCCCTTCCGAGAGCTCAGCTTTGGGCTCCTGCGGAGAGGCTTGTGGGCGCGAAAGGGAGCTACCTTGGAGAAGCCGGGATGGGGAGGTAGCTGGGGTGCAGAGACAGTGGCCCCGGCGGGCGAAGCTGAGGTTCAGTTCGGGGACTTGGGACCTCGCGGAGCCCGCCGAAGCGTGAGGTTGAGAGAAGAAGCGTGAGGTTGAGAGAATGACGGGGGCGGGGCTGGGGGCGGGGCTAGGCGTGGGAGTAAGAATTGGGGGCTCCGGTTTGGGGCCGGGGTTAAGATTTAGGGGCGAGACTAAGCCGGGTCTGGAGAGGAACTAGGGATGGGACTGAGGCCTGGCCCTGTGAGGTTTAGGCCTGAGGTAAAGGGGAAGCACCAGGCCTAAAGGTGGGACAAAGAGGAGCCTGGAAGGAGCTGGAAGGTCCCGGATGAAGAACGCGGCTGACGCTCAGACCTGGCAGGGCAGACCACGCGGCCTAGAGCGGGGAGGGGGGAGGCGGGTGGGGGGTGCCGGGCAAGCATGAGGCGGAGCTAGGGGCTAGGGTGGGGCGAGGGGAGACTGGAATTTACGGCTGGGCGGCGGGGTCAGCAAAGCCGCGGGTGCGGGGTGGAATT